ATTGAGAACTGATAATTTTGACTATTAAAGGCAAAAATAAATTCTTATTGCATAGATACTGAATTGAGAACTGATAATTTTGACTATTAAGGCAAGAATAAATTCTTGTGCATAGATACTGAATTGAGAACTGATAATTTTGACGATTAAGCTAAGAATAAATTCTTGTGCATAGATACTGAATTGAGAACTGATAATTTTGACTATTAAGGCAAGAATAAATTCTTGTGCATAGATACTGAATTGAGAACTGATAATTTTGACTATTAAAGGCAGAATAAATTCTTGTATACTGAATTGAGAACTGATAATTTTGACTATTAAGGCAAAAATAAATTCTTGTGCATAGATACTGAATTGAAACTGATAATTTTGACTATTAAGGCAAAAATAAATTCTTGTGCATAGATACTGAATTGAGAACTGATAATTTTGACTATTAAGCAAGAATAAATTCTTGTGCATAGATACTGAATTGAGAACTGATAATTTTGACTATTAAGCTAAGAATAAATTCTTGTAGATACTGATAGATAACTGAGTTTTGAGAACTGATAATTTTGACTATTAAGGCAAGAATAAATTCTTGTGCATAGATACTGAGTTGAGAACTGATAATTTTGACTATTAAGGCAAGAATAAATTCTTGTGCATAGATACTGAGTTGAGAACTAATAATTTTGACTATTAAGGCAAGAATAAATTCTTGTGCATAGATACTGAGTTGAGAACTAATAATTTTTTGACTATTAAAGGCAAGAATAAATTCGTGTACATAGATACTGAGTTGAGAACTGATAATTTTTGACTATTAAGGCAAGATTAAATTCTGGTGCATAGATACTGAGTTGAGAACTGATAAATTTGACTATTAAGGCTAGAACAAATTCTTGTGCATAGATACTGACGTGAGAACTGATAATTTTGACTATTAAGGCAAGAATAAATTCTTGTGCATAGATACTGAATTGAGAACTGATAATTTTGACTATTAAGGCAAGAATAAATTCTTGTGCATAGATACTGAATTGAGAACTGATAATTTTGACTATTAAGGCAAGAATAAATTCTTGTGCATAGATACTGAGTTGAGAACTAATGACATCAGGAAGGTCGTTTTTGAAAATTAGGAACACTATTTACTTTTTTCGGACTATTGTCCTCATCTTTGCCGCCAGATTTATCACCACGTTTCGGCCGTTGTACGCTCCAGTCTTCTTCAGGTGGTTGGAATATCGAATTGAACCCTTTATTTCGCTCGCTGGCGTAGACTTTTCTAGTTCCACGTGCCATCTCTAATGGATGTCAGTTATCAGTTATCTCCTGTTAATTCACCTCTCCAAGTTCTCCACTACCTTAACCAGGTATTGAACTAACATTTTCACTGGAGCTAATCAACGCCTTTATATAGTGCGCCATGTTTCCTTAACGATATCAGTGCATGGATTTCTGGGACTTATAAACTTAATGTCTTCATCAATTATTTTTTACCAGTGCTCATATTGCAATTTTTTGCTGTTATCATTGCATGTTTTACCAGAGCTCATATTGCAATTTTCGTTGTTATTGAAACTAGAACAGTCTACCCCAGTGAGCGAAATAAAGGGTTCAGTTCGACATTCCAACCACCTGAAGAAGGCTGGGGTGTACAACGGCCGAAACGTTGTGATAGATATAGCAACGAAGGTGAGGACAATAATCCAAATAATGTAAATAGTGTACATAATACCCCATCTCAGAAATATAGACAGATACAATTAGGAACAATTTAGGTTCTAGGATAGATTCCTGGCGGATGCCTGCATTGTTTTGATTGGCTCAATAATATTTTCTCTAAATGTTCTCTAGAATACTGTCGACCCGGCCATGTGTCCGAAACGGGAATGGAGCCCTGCATTGCCTGCCCGCTTGGAACCTACCAGTCAGAAAAGGGCAAGATGTCTTGTTTCATTTGTCCAAACAAGGCGCCGACGAATAAGTCTGCGTCAACGAAACTTCAAGATTGTAAAGGTAAGTAGTTGGTATTATTTTATCTGAACTAGACAATTTACATATGAACTACCGCCCTGGGTATGACGATAAACTTCATCCGTGTCGTGGGTGAGACGATAAATTATATCCAACAGCAAGGCGTCTGGTTAGGAGGTTTTGAGCAACGTGGAACCATCTCTTAATTGCTGATGTTCCCAGGTCTACCCTGACCCGGAGTGTTAGCACCTGTTAGGGCCCTAGCTAATAGTTAAGCCCCAATCTGCAGTCAAAACACTGTGTAAAACACTATGTAAGTGTAAAAATAGGTTTTAATAACATAAATAATTTGTAAAACAAATTATTACCAACAATACATTTTTTGAAAAAAAAAAAAAAAGAAGATATTATCAGCTATAGCAGGGGTGGCCAACCTTTTGATTCCATGCGCCAATATTTTGTACGATTAATTTAAAGGCGCCACAAAACATTCACTTCCTTTCAGTACGTGTTGTAATATGGACATATTTTAAAGTTATAATAAAATCTATTTATTTGAAAAATATCTGCTTATGACTAGAGGCGTATCCTTTTAGCACTTTCGCAAAGGATGTGCAATAAATATAAAATCACTGAAATGAATGAGTAGAAGTGGTTTAGTTTCTTTTCATTAAAAGGATGCAATGCGCCACTTGTAAGCATCCAATGCGCCACTTATGGCGCATGCGCCACAGGTTGGCCATCCTTGAGCTATAGTTTCTTTCTTTTTTTTTTGGAAAAAAATATTTCCAGCAATAAAAAAATTGTTGGCATTAAATAGCCCATTGATGTTGATATGCTGTAAAACAAACCAAACCAAACCAATCGAATCCAAACATATTAACTAACCAACGTTTCACTATAACGAAAAAAAATCGAGCAGAAACACAAAGAGAACGGTTAAGTTACATTAGTTTTCCAAGCGAAGTGTGCCTGTTGACCAAAAAAAAAAAATGGTTTCCAAATGATAGTTTTAAGCCCTAGTACAGGTATGGATTTTGTAAAGTATTTGACTCTAGAGAAAAAGTGTCCTTAGTTGTTCCCTTAAACTACCAACTACTGGAAGATTATGTTGATTTTAAGGAAATCTTTTTCCCAGGAAAATGATTTTCAGAAGCTAAATTTTCAAACCTAAAATTAGACAAGGGAGAAAATCTAGGTTAGGAGGTCATGCATATTTTACAGACTCTTGTGAACAAATAAAGCCTTGTAAAAAAAATGAAATCAATGATTTTGATTCTGCTTATCCAACGTCTTTTCTGTTAAGTGCGGCCAGTGAAGTCTATAAAAGATATATATATATATATATATATATATATATATATATATATATATATATATATATATATATATATATATATATATATATATATATATATATATATATATATATATATATATCCGTCGAATTCGACATGAGGTCAAGCTGATCAGTTCCTAGAAAACCGACAGCTCGACATGAGATTTGATTATAGTGGTGAAGGTTTCGTGCAGGACCATCCACACTTTTTGAAGGGCCGAATACAGAGACCTTGTGCACTAAGTGTCACAAGGTCTCCAAACGACCATCCGCAGACCAGTTGACATCCAAGAACCCAGTCTGTTCTGCTATTTACCTATAGCTGGAGGGAGAAGAAGAGGACTCACACCTTTCCCAAGGGTATTAGCATGTAAGTGAATGTAATAGATTCGACTGGAATTCGAACTCGGCTCTCCGAATCCTCAATCCAAGCCGCTATCCATTACGTGCGTTATTATAATAAAAAGAAAGAACAGTAATATACATAATCCGGTGTTCTTATTGATATTTTTATTTTTATTTTATTTTTTTACCAATCAGTGCTTAATGTAAATTTACAGAGCATAAATATTATAAATTAACTTTAAAAGAAAACATCCATTTTTTGTTGTTGAAATAATTGATTGATTGGATTCGGTGAGATTAAGAACTTAACTGGCAGGAGAGACGTACCTGTTGATTCCCCAATCACATGATCAAAATTGAGTTCGTGTCAACGCACTCACTAACCAGTTCAGCAAACTTTTTCTTGTGGTTGAAGTAAGAGAACTGCGAGTATCCACCATATTGAACAAGACAAATGGGTGGAAGGAATGGATATTTGCTCTCGTTTTTGTAGGAAGGACAAATAAATAGTGTTTAATATTTTTGTTGTAAATTCTCAAGAACAAAAAAAAAAAATGTAAAAATTCACTGTGGTAATAAAATAAGCACATCCCATCTCCCTTCTCGCTTATAACTATCCACTATAATAAAGTTTTCAGTGCTAAAGCTGAGAAGTTTTTTAATAAAGATTCAGACGCTTCTACTTAGTGTTGTTACTATATTACATGGGTGACAGAGCTAATTTCAACTAGGAACCTCAGAAGTGTAAATTGCAGTTCAAGCCCCGCGCTCAGTTTCAAATAAAAATTTCCCAAATAGTTCCGTTTAGGTGTAAATGTACATGCTTAATCCGAAAATAACAAAGAAATTTTGATAAAAATCTACCGTTTGGGAGTTATCAACAATAAAATTTCGGACTCATTCGCGTCGCGGTGGGTGAAGTTGAAATTAATTCTGCACCCCTCATCGCTTTTTAAAACCGTGGACTATTTAAAAGATAGTTCGCGCAGCGGATTGGTTGTTACAAACATCCAATCGGGTGTGCGGAAAATGTGTTCTTTTTTCGTCTAATTCATTAAAAGGCCAGAGTAGCTGTTAGTGTTTGATTGAGAGGGGAGATCAGGGATTGATCTCCCCTGATTGGGTCGACTTGATGATGGGGAGTATGATGTTGAAGGACCCGAAACTCCCTGATGAACCAAGTCAAATAACATCACTGACGACCCCCTCAGGCGCCTACTTAAAAGCGTATTTTTGAATTAAAACAATAAACATTGCCGAGGGGTGAAGGTAGGTAAAATAATATTGGTGTCAACGGAAAAAACCGTCCTTTTCACACAATTACTTTAATACTATTTTACTTTCGCAGATTGGGAATTACAAGGGGACTTTTCATTTGGTCAACAAAGGCAAACGAAAGAGCAACTCCAGTTCCATGCATGTTTTTTCAAACCATGCAGAAATGGCGGTACTTGTGAAAAAGAAGGTAAAAAATTCAGATGCAGATGCCCAGCGGGATTTACAGGTAAGTGAGAAACAATAAACATTTATGGCACTTTTTTGTCATCGTACTCTAGAGTCATATTGAAGGCCGAAGTGGAATACCTTTCAGAAAGTCTTTTGCAGCATTAACACGAAACCAAAAAATGCCTGAATTTCCGAAATTAGGAACTACCATTATTTCAAATTATTATAGCAACCTTTCGCTCCCACCTCTTTTTAATATATTTACAGATTCGGATAATCATCAAGGAATTTCCAACTGAAACATTTATTTGACATACCGGGGTATATAGTTCTTATCTCGCTGTCCATGTCTAGGATATCTCGTTCTTATTATTCATTGTTTTTCATTGTCAATAGCCGAGAGGACTAAACTGTTGATTCGTAAATTTAGTAACATAGTAATTGTGAGTTCAATCCTTGGGCTGGATTGTAACGATTCTAAGTGATCTTTCCATAACTAAACTTCAATTTCCCATAACTAAGCTTCAGTTTCGATAGCTAAACTTCAATTTCCCATAACTCAGCTTCATTTTCCATAGCTAAACTTCAATTTCCCATAAGTAAGCTCCAGTTTCCATAACTAAACTTCAATTTCTTATCATTAAACTTGAATGTCCCCCGAATAGCGTTAAAACATTAAATATAAGCAAACAGTTTCCTGTGCTCCAAACAGGTTTATAGGAGTAGATAGGTTCAAACAGCACTCGGTCAGTCCTCCTTCCATGTTAATTGAACAGGAGAAGATGTTTATCACTTGTTTCCTGTTTAGAATATGGTTTACCGGTTCTTTCATCCATCGTCATAATGATTTAACTCTCTTAACGTTTTCGTAGCAGTCTTCTGGTTGTTGCTTCCGACTGATAGTAAGGATTCCAAACTCTTTGGTAGCGCTTATAGAGTCTTCTCTGATTAACAGTCGCATAATATCGTGGTATTTGTAATGCCATATTGCGCATGGTGATGGTCCCCCGCATGTATTTCCAGTGAGCAACTTTATGGCCACATTATACTTTAGTCTTAACCATCTTCTAGCTAGTTTGTATTCCCATAGTTGATAGATAGTGATAAATAGTTTGACTGTTTTCTTCTTAAAACACATTTTAAGACAAATACAATGAAAAGAAATATGTGTAAACCAGTAAACAAAAGATTACCTACCACCTAAACATGTATTTCTTCATTCGAATTTATGTGGTGTTGAGTCTTTTCCATTGAAACGGTTTCCAGTTGCTTTCGGACTTTGTAAAACTAATTTAAATTCTTCTATTCCTATAATGAATGCGCTGTTCCAGGCTATCTTCCTCTTTGTCGAAAAGAATATATCATACATATGCATGGCCTTGGTGTTTATATTCGGGAAACTCTCCCAATTGAAAGGGAACTGTCTCTTAAGTCCCCAGATGATTCTTTCATGTGCTTTCGACTTTCGTTATTGCACTCTGTTAGCTATCACTTTTTCCTTTATCGCCCTCCTTCTTCTCAGGACTGTAATATATTAAAGAAAATTTCTGATAATATAGAAATGGCTCTTTCTCTACAAATATTTTTGTGTTTGGTGTTTTTAATATTTATCACGTCATTCTAATGTTACTGATGACTTTTAATTCTTCCATTGTTCAGTCTCTCAGTCAAATAGTGGACTTCTTTACTCGTTTCCCAAATAAAACTGTTCAATATTCTTCTTTACTTTATTTGTTCCTTACCTCCTTTCCTAGCTCTTGTAGAGCATCACAAATCTGTTCTCTTGGCAATTTGTAACACTGTAATATCTATTGATATTTCTTTTGAGTCGTCTATTAGAAAAGAACCTCCTATTCATAAGACCTCTGTCTATTATCAACGTACTGATTGGAATTCATTTCGTGACTTTATTCGAGACGCCCTTTGGATTGATATTCTTAAACCTTCCTATTGGAAATTGTGACACAGGGGTTTCTTCTTGGGTTAAAGTCAGCAATGATGCTTTTGTACCTTCTTACAAACATCAAATGAAACCACCATCTTCTCCTTGGGTTAGCCACTATAACCACTGGTCTTTTACGTAAGCTCCAGGGCTACAGTATTGCTGGACGACTGTTTAATTTAATTAAATCGTACCTATCAAATTGTGAAATGAAGGTCATTTTGAACGGGTTCGCTATTAGATCTTTTCACACGGACGTGGGTGTCCCTCAAGGCTCTATCGTGGGTCCTTCGCTGTTTCTGATCTTCATCAGTGATCTTCCTGCTGTCATCAATTCCCAAGTAGGCATTTATGCTGATGACGCTACCATTTACTCTTGTCTCAATAGTAAATCCTCCAGAGCCGAAAAAGTTAAACTGGTCGCTTCTCTTGAAAAGGACCTCTAATCTGGGACAGGAAATGGTTCTCCAAAACGAAACTGCTCTCATTTAACCACAATCGAGAATCTTACATACCCGCCATTAACATGGCTAATGTTAGACACATGGAAAGCATCATACTGCCACTTCTTGGCCTCATGTTTTCAAATGACTTAAAGTGGAACGAAAACATCGAATCAATTGTTGCATCTACTGCAAAGAAAGATGGGTAACTGTGCCGTGCCAGAAGGTTTTTCTCGTCAGAGTCAATATTGCACATTTACAAATCTACCATTCGCCCATGAATTGAATACCGTTGCATATCTGGTCTTGGCAAAATCCAATAAATTTTCTGCAATGCAATCGATCCCGACATGGCATCTCGACTTCAGTCTCTTTCTCACAGATATGACGTGGCTACCCTTTGTCTTTTCTACATATGGAAAATGACGAGGTTTTTCCCCAGGTGCTCGGCTTATGTTAGTTTAAGTGCGCTACTAGATTGGCATTTAGGTCCCACTCTTTTACTGTTGAATTAGTTAAATGTAACCGCCACTTCTATGCCAACAGTTTCTTTTCAAAATTTCAGATTTACTTTTTTTTCTACTTCAAGGTTCGTTTGTCGAAGTTGGAGCTAAATTTATTGAAACAAAATTTTAGTTTAACGAAATTGAAACTTAGACTGTTTAAATTGAAATTTTGTAAAACTGAAAATTAGTTTCATGAAACTGAACTTTAGTTTGGAGAAGTCGAATTTTAGGTTAGTGAACTGAAATTTGGTGAAATTGAATGTTGTTCAAGTGAAATTTAATTCGTTGAAATAGAAAATTGGGAAAAATTGAAATGTAATTTTTTGAAATTAAAATTTTACTTGATGAAATTGAAGATTATTTTGGTGTTATTCAAATTTATTTATTGTTTAGTTGGAAGCCTGATAAATTCCTTTTAATTCTGATTCCATTTCTGAAAAAAGGTTTTCCAATTTCTTTTAAGTAATTTGAACAATTGAAATTCTGGTTGATGTAAATGGTATAAATTCTTCCAAGAATGTTTAATATATGGGTGCCTTCTTCTTCTTCTTCTTCTTCTTCTTTTGCTTCTTCATCTTCTTTATATTCTTCTTCTTGATCTTGCTCCTCTTCTTTTACTCCCCCCTCCTCCTATTCTTCGTTTTTCGTTCTTCTTCAAGAGTTAAGGGATCATGGTTCTCCACATCTTTCTAATCTCGTGTGGATCTTATCAGTTTTTCTCTCTTTGGTACTGCCCCTGATTCCCGTTCCGCCATCCATTACCACAAGCTCGTCAGCTAAGTACCATACTGCTATTCTCTATCTCTCTCGCCCTCAGTGTGCCACATGTGGGTTAAGTTTTTCAGCCCTTCTTTCCTCATTATGTGTCAAAGGAATTTCAACTGTCATTTCTTGATTCTGAGTAGAAGTGTTCTTTCCGTTGCCATTTTCTTTAAGACTTCCTTGTTGCATACCTATTTCCTTCTTCCAAATTCTTTGCAAAGCTCTCATTTTGCTTATTATTTCTTTCGTCAGGTATTGATATTTTTCCCAGAAGGAAACATTCGGCAATAATTGAACGAGCAGCCAGTGCTACTGGAGTTACGCATTTCTATGTTCCCTGCCCATCGGACTGAGATCAAAGTGTAGTATTTGTTGTTCGTAATGGCGATGGTAATATTAGCCGTTTCCGTATAAGATGACATTCGGCATTCATCGGCCGCGCAATCAATGCTTCCATCATTTAAAATTTATGAAATTTTTATTCTAAAACAATTTTTCAGGAAAATAGGTTTCTCAAATCCAGCAAGTGTTCTTTGAAATAACAAAGAGAGCTTCCTTCCTAATCTTTCTCAAGTCTCGTAGCTGTTATCGCTCTTTCCAGAATTGATGAAGAGTTTCCTTCCTAATCTTTTGCTTGAAGTTGTGTGGAACGTCAACATCCCTATTATGCCATTATTTCCCCTTCGAGTTACGTGTACTAGCCATTTTAGTTGTTTCCGTTGTAGAATGTTCTCGAGTGATATGGTTTTTGTTATCTTGTACAGTTCTTTGTGATTCTGTAGCGCCAGTCCACAATGTCCGAAGAAGGATAGTTTTTGCCTGGACCCACAGACTTCACTCACTCAAAGCTATTTTTAACTACCCCTAGCGAAGTCTATTTTATGTTCAGTTTTCTCTTTAAAAAGTTTTTCAGGAAAATAGGTTCCTCAAGTCCCGTAGCTGTTATCGCTCTTTCCAGAATTGATGAAGAGTTTCCTTTCTAACCTTTTGTTTGAAGTAGTGAGGAATGTCATCATCTTGATTATGTCATTATTTTTCTTTTAGTTACGTGTACTATCCATTTTAGTTGTTGCTGTTGTTGAAAGTCCTCAAGTGATGCGTTTTCCGTTATTTGGTACAGTTTCTTTGTTTGTGATTATGTAGCGCCAGTCAACGATGTTCGAAAAAGTATGGCCCGAAATAAAACCTAGAAGTCAGTTGATGACGATAAGGGGAAAACTGTAACCTTGCTTAAATATAACCATACAAATGCAGGTGACACTGAAATACAAATCCAATTTAAGCTCATATTTCTTACTATTCTGTCACTAGTTTTTACTATACACAGATTGGATAAAGATATTGAAAGCACTGACTGTCGTCGAGCGACTGACGAAATATTTCATTGATATATATGCCGGTGTAA